ATAGACAAAATTCAATTCTTAAATATTTGATATATGTGCATTAAACATACTGTTCTATTTTGCACTAATATTAGGTTCAAATATTTACATTCTCAGAATTTCCACTCCCAAGGCTCAAATAAGACGAGTTCTCTGATTCCCCCTGGATAGTTTCAGTAATCCGTCATACATCATCAAACACTCAAACATATAGCTAGGCTAGATTCAAAACTTGCAGAGTCTTAACTTATAAAGAAAGTACCCTTAAAGGGACTGTACGCGTATTTTCAAGTGACCCCCTGTGCAAAAATAGAAATGCCAGATTTACAAAAGTATACTTAGCAGAAAACTTTAGAATGAGATAGCCTTAATCCCGATCACTTAATCTGAGTATTCAATGGACACACTTTTGATTTTCTTCTTAAACCGTTCTTTCTTGGATATGGTAGAGAAAAATCTAAAACCGGTTTTTTAAATTAGAGAGTCCCTCCCGCTTCTGTATATTAATCTTAAATGGCGCGCAAAATATCAAATTTATCGGCTTCATATACTCGACTCTTATTGGTTGAATTTTATACACTTTTCAGGATACAAGTACAAGATTAGGTTAGTCTCAATGTTAAGAAAAAGAGAGGCTCAAGCATTAATCTTTCTCCGTTGCTTCTTGTTAACAAGAAATGCTCAAGCCACTTTCTCAGAAAACCCGCAAATGAAAATAAACAGTTTAAAGAAACAAAAACAATGATATTTAATTAATACTTGATCAGACAAAGCTTTCAAGGGTACCGTTGTAAATCGGGAAAAGTCATCTTTGCAATGGAGGGTCACTTGAAATTATGATTACGGTAAGCTCTAAAAAGAAACTTTTTGGGGTCTATCATTTCTTAGATTTTAATTCAAGAATAGAATTAGAAGTAATATAAAATAAAATTTTACTACAAATTTTTGGTATACACAAAACAACTTTAACCCATTCATTAAATTTGGTTTCCAATAATGGGTTTAAATACGGGAACCTGTCTTCAGGGTTTGGGCTCTTTTGTCTGCGAGATATTAGTTTTATATTAACATTTTTATTCAATTATAAAACATTAGAAAACAAATAAGTAATCAGAATTTATACTTACATTATGCGCTTTTAAGTAAAAACTAAAAATAGTTAATAGTTTGTATACTAAACCCACTCAAGTACGTAACAATAAGGAAAAAAATTAATTACAGCTTGTAGAGAAATAACAATTTGAATTTAGAATTTGAGATTTTTTGTTATAAAATCATCTCACATGATAGACAGTTTTTTTCTCTTTCTTCATAATCTGATATAATTTTCGAGATGGATATTTTAGCAACCTTTTATTCAAATATTTTTCTAGATTTTGTTTTAGCCCAATTTCAGTTTAGTTTTACAATTTTGGAAAGGAATGGAGTCTTTGCCGCGATCACAAATTCTCCATTCCTTATATCTTTGCTTGCAACCTGATGGTGTACAGCTTTGATATTTCAAAATTAGTTTATTCATAGTTTGAAATATCTCAAGTCTGCTATATTGGGTTGCAAAGATATAGGGATTAGAAAATCAGAGTTTGTGGCAAAGACTCAATTTTTTTGCGATCTTCTGGTGGATTTTTATTAAATTATGTTAGTTATGTTTTAGTATTCTAATTTAAGAAGTGATTTAACCTATTAGATTTAAGACCTATTAGATTTAAGACCTATTAGATTTGCACCATGTTGCCAAAATCATATCTTCTTCTTATCCACAGCCACTGCCAAAAGTGCCAAATACGCAGCATATATTCTTATACATATATTTTTAAACATATATTTTTATACATATGTTTTTATACATATTTTGGTCTTTTTTTCAATAAAAGATTTTGTCGTATATGTTAAAAAATTAAAATTAAAATATGAGAAGTTGTGACTGTTAAATATTTGGAAAGCATGAGTTAATATAAAATCTGAATCTAATTGAAAAAAAACAATGTAAAGACACCACAAACTAGACAGTATGCTATATTACTGGTACAACTTTAGGACATCGTAACTCCTCAGATTTTGATTGTATACCAAGAAAATGAGGAAAGAAAATTTATCCGATATCATAAGAAAGTCAAAATATTTTTGTTCTTCTCTAAAGATCTTGAATAAGAAAAGTTATGATGGAAAACATTCGAATCGTTGAAATGTACTTTAGTTCGACGTGATGGAGCAACTTTATATATATATATATATATATATATATATGTATACGATGTTACAACGTGACATGGGATGATTGAATAATAATCTGAAAGTGTGTGCCAGGTTTACTACATGAGAAAATCAATATCAACTATACATGGATTAGATAGAGAAACCAAGCATATTCTACTTTAAACAAAACCATATCAAACATTAATATAGCACGCCAAACTAAAGAAAGTTTTACTAAAAACATGAATTTAATCAGATACTTCTTTTATTTGAGAGCTATTGAGAAGACCAAACTTGTTTTGAACTTATGACTAAATAATTCGTTTTTCTCATAATTGTGTGCGTAAATTAAAAAATAATAAAGAAGCTGCGAGGTAACCAGTAATATAAAGTACAGTTTTCACTTTTTTGAAGAATGATCAGTTCCTTTTAAAAACGACGAAGAAAAACGAGAAACGAAACGGTCATTTCTGAAAAGGATTGTTTTTTAAAAAGTTCGTCGTTTTGTTAACGAAAGTTGGTCGTTTTTAACATTTGACATTAGTTAACGATCCTAAGCGACGACCTGTCGTTACAACGACTCTTCGTTAACGATTCATTAGCAACATTTCTTTTAACTAACAATCGTTTTTATAAAATCGTTTTTCGTATTTTGAAAGGTCAAAACGAGTGGTTCGTTATAAAAAGCTAACGTTAGTTTTTAAAAACGAAACGATAATTTTTAGGCAAAACACGATCGATTTTTTCGATCGTTTTTAAAACGATTAACTTAAGCCTAGCCTAGACTCTAGTCCAGTGTGATAGTGTTGACAAAATATATTTAATAATAAATACTTCATCAAATACTATCAAAGGGACTGTCAATGATAGTTTTAGTGAATCTACATTTAAAGAGCTGCATGCCTGATTCACAACGATATTCTGTATCCGTGCAACAACAAAGAAGATAACTTCGTTTTTTAATCTGGAAAAGTGTTTGATTCTGACAATTTTCTTTCTTGTTATTTTAAGCAACATGTTTAAAGGGTTCCGATGCCCGTCTTTAAATAGAGGGTCAATTGAGATTACGTCAACAGCTCCTTTAAAGATGGTTGATCGACCTTCCGTTTGTTTTCCGAAATTTTCCATGAAAATCCAAATAGCAAATATCCACACGAAACAGTGATTTTTTAACTAGAGAAAATAAGCTTACAAAGCTTGCTCTCTAAACATAATATTTGTTAGTGTTTGATTGGTCTCATTGTTAATAATTGGAGGGGGGTGGAGGGTGGGGGGGTTGCTCGTAATAAGGGGAGAGGTCATTCATCGGAGTTCAACGCCATGAACAGAATACAGACAGCTATTAAAACGTATAATGCTTGATCTTTTAAGCACCATGTAGATATTGAACTCAAAGTTTTATCTTACTAACTATTTATTTTGTAACCCTAAACATTCAAGGTTTAGAACTAACTACAGCGGGCTAGTTTCTGCCTTCAATTTAGAATGAAATATTTTGGCGCAATTCCAGGTTATAAAAACCATCAATAGAGAGACAAAATTGGCGTGGTAGATCTGGACAATAATTGGCTCAGAAGAGCAAATCAAATTGATAAAATGCCATAAGACTCCACCAACAACGAAAAAAAAAGTTATTAAAAATGAAGCTATAGATCTAAAAGTTCTAAAATGTAGGTACACATGGATCTATAGTCTATGACTAAACAAAATATAAGTTAGTAAGTAAAGTGAGTTAGTAAGTGAGTTAGTAAGTGAGTTAGTAAGTGAGTTAGTAAGTGAGTTAGTTTATTAGAAAATCCCAAATCCCATACCTACATCCTGGATTTTTGTGAACCCTCTATAGTAACCAACAATTCAAACAATATATATATATTTATATTAAATAGAATAGTATAGGCAATTATTTACTTGTGAATATCGTGTTATATTTACCAAACGAGAGTAAACAAAGCTTAACATAAAATAATATTTTGTAAACAGGAGATCCTACATAATACTAGATAGAGTTGGATAGTAATCGTAATCGTAATCGTAATAATCAAAGATGTAATGCAAAGAAAGTTATTTCAGAAGTGAACGCATCTTTTGTACTACAGTGTACTGTCTCTGGGCGGTAATGTAAACACAAGACGGATGTTATCGCCTGACATGGGATCTATTTTTCACATAAAAAAATCAATGAAATATTCTGGTCTTAGGAAACTATTATGTGAATTATCAAAATTATCAAATTTAATGCTTTTAACCTCCTCGGATACTAAACGAACACTGATGCATCTATTCTTGTTTTATAAATTCCGTCCAAAGAGAACTGGTTTCAATATGTACGCAGAGTATACGCGACCGCAATTAACTTTCCTTGCATTAAACCCTTGGTAATAATGTTCTTTTGGGATCGTTGTAAGGGGTGATCTGTAAAGAAACTGATTAATCGTATAAAATTCTAATTTTCAAATCTTTACATCATTGTAACCGGATGTTTTAGACCTTAAAAAAATTGGATCTTGATTTCCAATATGCTTTACACCATCAGGTTGCAAAGATAAAGGGTTTCGAAAGTTGGAGTGGGAGTCGAGTAAATCAGTTCCTTTTAAGACAAAGGAGAAAAGAATAAAACTGAATGGATAAATCAAAGAATGATAACAAATTATGAGAAGCTACGTGTGCGATTTTGTATGTGTGAAACATATTTCTTTTGTCGAATGATAAAAATTCAAAACTTTTTTGTTGTTCTCTTTTTAAAGTAACATGCAAGATTTCAATCTTACGGGAATTTTACATTACCTGATTTGGCTATTTCACAGATGCTTTAATTTTCAGAAAAAATGGCATGTAATTTCTCCCAACTTAACAGGACCAGGAGTATTGGGAGGAAGCGACATCTATCAGAAGAGGAACAGTTCTTTAGAAAGGTAATATCAAACTTCTCTTCTCCGAAAATAATTGGAAACAGTAAAATTTAATCAATATTATTTGTTCAATTTGAAAGATTTGAAATAATGATTAATTGAAGATTTAAGAGCTAGATCTCGAAGTGTTGGTAAGCTAGAAGCGGGGTTCTCAGGAGGCAGAGAGAGGATACTAAAGTAAGCAGTAGAAATTTTTAAATTTTTTAATGATAACCAGAGTTTAAAGCGGCCCCACTTTATAGGGTCATAAATTTATCTTTTTAAAACAACTTTTAAATATAACAAATATTTTTTTACTTTATTTTGGCTCTTTTTAACCTATCCTTGGTCATGTAACTTTCCTGGGCCCCTTTATTTTCATTCTAGAGCTTTTAGAGCTTAAAAAAATAAGTCAAAAACGTTTAAAACTGAAAACTTAAAATAAAACTAACAAAAATTGCATGATTTTATGGTTTTTAAACAAATTCACGTAAATAATTAAAAAAATCATGTGCGTCAATGATTTATTAAGAAATCTTTTAAAGATTATTTTTTATTATTTTCTGGAAAAAACTAGTATTACAAAAAACAGTTTTTAAAGTCATATTCACCCCTGTTTCAACTGTCCAGAAACCTCAGTCTATTTCTCTCTATCTCATTTTCCAATTAGAGATCACTTGTCTTATTAGCAATAAAAAGTGAATGAAATTGTTTATTTATAATAATAATTTTTCTTCAGGAATAGATAGTTGTCCTGAGATGGAATTTAAAGAATTTAAGCCGCGGTTTGAATCCGCCAAAACCCGGTTTAAATTTAGCGCCGGCTTAAATCTTGAAACATTTTATACAATTTTAAGTGAAACCAACCAATATTTAAACCGCGTCTTAAATTTAAACCGCCGCTCAAATTCTTCAAATTCGGCCAATGATCTTTAAAGGAACTGTAAGAGTAATTTTTGTTATATTTTATAAATAAAAAATTACATACTTACATAATTTCCAAGGATAGCGTTGTCCGATTTACAACGCTATCCTTGAAAGCTTTGTCTGATCAAGTATGAATGAAATATGCATTATTTTTTTTCTTTAAACTGTTTACTTTCATTTCTCTGGGTTCTCTACGAAAGTAACTTGCACATAATTCTTGCTTAGGAGAAACTTTCCAAGTCAAAAAACGACGGTATCCTTCACATTTTGATTAGATTAAGGTTTCAAGGGTACCGTTGTAGGTCGGGCATTGCAATTTTTGCACGGAGGGCCACTTGAAATTACGCTTACAGTCCCTTTAATGGGTAGATCAATACATAATCATAAGCATGTTTTTTTTTCTCCAATTTCATGAAACTTAAGATGTAAATATAATTTAATTGATCGTAATAATGAATTAGTTTTCATTTTTATCTTCGTTTTTATAATCGATCTCAATCATTCTACATTTACCAACAAATCGAATAATCAATTATTTTTAAATTATTTATTTTCAAGGTTGAAACAACTTCGTCAGAATGCGCAGACAAACTACCAGGTTAAATAAACATTATTTATTTTTCATTTGTTTAAATTTAAAAATACAGGTATTCCCACTTTGCATAGCCATTGAGTGTCAAATATGATATGATCTTTGTTTTTTTATCTTTATTCTTCAATAACTATCTTTATAATCTTTAATACGTAATAACTATCTAAGGATGTATAATATTGATAACTATCAAAGGTTGTGTGTCAAAAAATTGTACTTTTTAAAAGCTTTGAATTCGTGAAATCATTTTTTGTTACTAAATAGCTATCAAAGCTTAAAGAAGATATTTAAGTTGTCTTTCGATTGTTATGTTTATTAAGTCCCCTGCACTAACTTTATCCGCTGATTGATCTTTAATCCATAATATACACTGATTGGTGTTTACCAAAGTTTCAATAAATATTTTAATTAAAAATTAAAGTATTTAGCAACAAAGTTAATGATTCTCATATTTTCTGTGTTTTTGACAACAACAAATTCTTTCAACATTTGATTGAAATTCTTTTAAAAATCATGAAAATAAGAGAAATGTTAAAAATACAAATGTTTAGACGATTACTGCTGGAATGCAACCGGAAGTTAGGAAACCCCTGAGAGTTGCATTTACTCCTTTAGATCAGGTTTGTCCAGACTTTAAAAAAAAATCCGAAATCAATTTTTTTTAAAAATCCATTATTTTTTCATGAAAAGGGTAATATTGGCTTAAATTCTCCATTTTGTTTTTACCTTTATCAAAATTTCTTTTAAACCTAAAACCAGCAGAGGCGGGGAGGGGGGGGGTGTCATAATCTACTGAAAATAATAACAAAACACTTTAAATTACGTCTTTACGGTCCCTTTAAGAGGGGGAATGTTGAAAACTGAACGGACAAATTTGAAATTATTTATTTTCTTTTTCTCGTTAAAAATATATTTACACGACTAAACTTAAATAAAATCAAAGTATGGATAAATAACTTCAACTTTCTCTTTTCAAACTTTAAAATAATTTTCTGCAAAAGATTATTTGAAATATCCACAGTGAGACTAATTATATTGTGGAATAATAAGACGATATTCAATCAATCCCATGTGTATTTCATGTTGTCGAAATTAGAATCGTTAAGCTTGAAACTTATTATGTGAAATGGGTTTTATGTTCATGTTTTATGTTCATTGAATTGTTTGAATGTAACGGTCATCTCCTTATTCCAGATTTTGACATGATATGTTAGTGTAAAATAGATTTAGATTTAAGTAAAGTAAATGGTTATTATAAACATTTACACTCTTAAAAACCTCAAAATGAGGTGCAATGAGCAAGATATCGACGTTTTTGAATATAAAAAAAATTACAAATTGTCTTCCTTTGTTTCTGATGACCAACCGAAAGTTTAAAGCGTTGACATTTTAGACCAAGCTAAGCACTGTCAAGGTTCTGACAAGTTCCTCGCTCAAGATTTGAGGCAAATCAGTCAATGGGTTGCTGGGATATGATCGGACATACAAACAAACAAACAGAGATTGCTACTTTATAAATATACTAGCTTGGGAACCCAGATCTGCCCAGGTTACTAAAAGTTACTCCGACGTTTACCCGCACTTGAACGATTTTACCGAGAAAAGAAATTTTCGCTTTTAAAGTCGACCCATTTAACATAGAATCTCAAAACCAAGCTAAGAAAATTCCTGTGTGTCTCCCTAGTTCACCAATCGAAATTTGAGACAAATCGGTCCAGGGGTTCCTGAGTTACGATCGGACAAAAAAAAACACCCGAACAGAGATTACAACTTTATATATATATATATGCCGTACCTTTTCTTAGAGTGAGAAACTTCCCAAACCCAAGACTGTTGATGCTCAACAAATCCTGGAGGAGGATGAAGAGGAGGAGGAAGAGGATGAACCGGAACCAGATGGTATGTTTATCATTTATTTGAAGGAAATCATATAAAAATCTTTTTTTTCATGGAGATTTTTTGTGGATTTTTAACCCTTCTATTCTTTTTTTTCTAATTCTTGGGACACAAAATTTTTAATCGAATTTTTGTAGAGGTACTTTTTCTAATTCTCTGATTTTTTTGTCGAAAAGTCAATAAAATTTTAATAGTTAAAAAAAAACAAAGTTGTAGGCCTTAATTACTGTCAGCCAACTAGTACAAACTTTATTACAAATAACAAATATGCGCATTTGCCCCAATTGATAATATAGGATAGTCTAGAGGTTTTAATCCTCTAATTTAATAATTAAGTCAAAAAAAAGTGTTTTCTGTCGAGCTTTGGATTTTTTTTTTATGAAAGGGAAACACCGAACGTACAATCAGATTGCAATTTTAATCAATTATTGTTAATTTTTTGATACTTATACCACAATCTCAAATTTTCTAATCCCTATATCTTTGAGGCCTCATTGTGTAAACCATTGATATTTCAAATTTAGATTTTTATCTAATAGAATTCATAGTTTGACTCGACATTGGATTGCAAAGATATTGGGATTAGAAAAATTGAAAGGAACTGAGTTTTTATCAAAAACTAAAATTGTCTAATCCCTTTATCTTTACAATCTGATGATGTAAACCCTTGATATTTCAAACTTATATTATTTGGTCTAACAGAATTCATAGTTTGAAATATCAAAGATCTACGACATTGGGTAGGAAAGATATAGAGATTAGAAAAGTAGAGTTTGTTACAAAAACTCAGTTCCTTTGTGGCAAAGACTCAAATAGTGAAATATACTTTAACTTTAGGTAGCTGAATTTTATATCAAGATTAATAATAATAATAATAATAATGATGATAAGATAGATGGTCCAGATATTGATAATAACAATAATAATGATGATACTTTAGATGGTCCAGATGAACTGGAGGAGGGTGAAACCTGGGATAGTAAGGTATTTAAATTTATTTGATCTTTTACAAAAATTAAATGACATTACAGAAAATAGTTTTGTAAAAGGTATTAAAATTGAAATTTTCATAATTGAATATGTTCTTTCTAGACTCTAGAAACAGAAAATATAAATTGTAAATACCTTTAATTTAAAGTGACTGTGAACCTAATGTCAATTGTCTCTACATTTATAAAGTGGCATGTCCTATTTATAACGGTGCCCTTTAAACCATCAACTGTGTAACAATGAATAAGATTTCTATAAAAATATTAAATTTTTACAAATTCCTTAATTTTCATTAAAACAAACAAGGAGTCCTTCATTGTTTTTACTAATAATATATGATTTAAAGAGTATACATAGATATGATTTTGACTCTGTACACAGAGGCTTGAAATTCTTTAAAAAACGCCTCTAGAAAAATTGGAGTTAATTAATGTCGAAATATTCTAGATACTTTCCTTTGATGTTCTCGAAAAAGAGGCAATAAAAAGTTATAAAAAAAAATATTGTTAAAGGGGTTGTCGTTGTAATTTGAAGTACCCCTCCAATTAAAGAGGGGTTTACCCGATCCACAACGGTACCCTCTTAAGCTTAATCTGATCAATAATGTGGCAGATATCTCCAGCTTGACAATTCTTAAGTTTGGAAAATTTTCCTCCAACAGTATTATTCCCTTGTTTTAATATTTATACTCCCTACAATTATTGTTATTGAACTTTGCAATATTTTTATCCTTTTAGAAAACCCTCGTTTTAATATGGAACGTTTTGGTTCATTTTGGTTCGCGGTATTTTTTCATAAATGGCATAGTGGAAGAAAGTTTAAAATTAATTTTTTTTTACAATTGACCTTGAGTCAAAAATATATGAAAAAAACGAACCAAAACGTTTAACAACACTTCCATATATCAATTGCAATAAATATATAGGTTAAAAAAATGACAAAAAGAACATTTGTAACATTTGTAACATTTGTAACATTTGTAACATTTGTAACATTTGTAACATTTGTAACATTTGTAACATTCTTTTTTAATTTTGATGTTTTTGTTAGATGACGTTCATCCTGGCAACAATTGGATATGCTGTTGGTTTAGGAAACATTTGGCGATTTCCATATCTAGCGCAGAAAAACGGCGGAGGTAAACGGTGCTTAACATAAACATATTAGAAAAACGGCGGAGGTAAACGGTGTTTAACATAAACATATTAGAAAAACGGCGGAGGTAAACGGTGTTTAACATAAACATATTAGAAAAACGGCGGAGGTAAACGGTGCTTAACATAAACATATTAGAAAAACGGCGGAGGTAAACTAACATAAACATATTAGAAAAACGGCGGAGGTAAACGGTGTTTAACATAAACATATTAGAAAAATGGTGAAGGTAAACGGTGTTTAAGGTAAACATATTAGAAAAACGGTGGAAGTAAACGGTGCTTAACATAAACATACTAGAAAAACGGCGGAGGTAAACGGTGCTTAACATAAACATACTAGAAAAATGGTGTTTAACATAAACATATTAGAAAAACAGCGGAGGTAAACGGTGTTTAACATAAACATATGAGAAAGACGGCAGAGGTAAACGCTGTTCAACATAAAAATATTAGAAAAACGGCGGAGATAAACGGTGCTTAACATAAACATATTAGAAAAACGGCGGAGATAACCGGTGTTTAGCATAAACATATTAGAAAAACGACGGAGATAAACGGTGCTTAACATAAACATATTAGAAAAACGGCGGTGATAAACTGTGTTTAACATATACATATTTTTTAGTGAAAATTATCATATATGTCGTTATGTGATTTAAGATATAATTTTTTCTTAAACTTTGTTAATAAAAACTCTTAAATTGGGGAGACATAGTTAATAACATATGTTTTTTTGGCAATGGCTCTCCAAAAACGTGTTAATTTCTAAAGGGGGGGGGTTGACGACTATTCAACGTTTAGCTTTTTTAAAGGGAAGAAAACAGATTTAAAGGAAAGAACTTTTTCTCAAAACCCAGTTGTTGAATTTCATTGTTGAGAACCTTAGTTCGTGCATGAATTGGTTAAAAACAAAAAATGATGATTTTTTGAGACTTCGTAAATGACATTTATACAAATCATATTATGCGTTTTCAGTCATTCATGATTGATAACTTTTCTTATTATAATTTTAGTCAGTAATTTAGTTTCAATCTCTTTTGTAAAGAAAATAAAAGTTAGATATCCCTAGTTTATTAAAACGAATAAAATTTTAGATTTAAAGGGACTTTTAGCGTAAAGTTCGATTCACAACGGTACCCCTTAAAGATTTGTCTGATCAACTATGAATTAGATATCTATGTTTATGTTTTTGAAAAATGATTATTTTTAGTCGAGTGTTCTCTACAAAAGTGACTTGCGCATTTCTATTGCAGGAAAGCATAGAGAAATGATCAAAATAAAACAATTTAACCCAAGAAAAAGAGCAAAATTTTCCATTATATGCTTATATAAAGGTTTCAAGGGTACCGTTGTGAATAGTCATCTTGTATGGAGGGTCACTTGAAATTACGCTGAAAATAAGAAACCTGAAAGCAACGTGAATTGGTGATATACTATTTTGTATTCTAATTCATAAAGGTTAAAGGTTTGGTAATGTTTACATTTTAGGTGCGTTCCTGATCCCCTACTTCATTGCCCTGATAACACTAGGAAATCTATTATACGTTTAATTTATACAAAATAAAAATATAATCACCCCAACCCCCAACCCCCCTCCGACTAAAAATCTCTTATTTTGCCGAATCTGTTAAGCATCAATGTATATTTATTTTCCTATATACCACATTTTTAGAAAACGAAAAACACTAGACTGGGACCAAGAAACCCCTTTTCTGAAAACCACCTCTGAATAGCTAAAATATACTCATGATTGCTAAAAGTCTTGTATTGCACCTGTTTTTTTGGCAAACCCTGTCAATTTTAAAATGCGATATCCAGAGAAAAGAGTTTTAGTTTGTAAACTTTTATATTGTTTAATGTAATTTTGCTTTAGAAAAATATAAATGATAAATAATAAAAAACAAAATATTTGATGTTTTTGAATTTTTCTTTTTAAAATATTGCTGAACTCCTCGCGGCAAAATTTATTACATTGGATTTTTCTTTTTTTTCAGGTTTACGAGGTAATTTGACATAAATTAATTTTTTTAAAAATAAAATACCTTTTGCATTAATCTTTTTTGAAATTTTGTTTGTTCAGATAAAACCTCCAGAAAAAATTCTCTTATTTTGCCGAATCTTTTAGCATCTTCAATGTTTATTCATTTCCCTATAAATATTAACTAAACATTTGATGCGGGAATTTCCCTTTTTTTTAAATGTTTGGACCATTCGCACTAAAATTCATTACATCGGATGATCGGATTATTCCTATTTAGGTTTACCTTGTAATTTGACATAAAATAATTCTTTTTTTGCTAGACTGAGAAATACTTTTTGCATTAATCTTTTATAAAAGTTGATGTGTTCAGAGAAAAATCTAATTTTAGCACTAAAATAGCAATGAGAGCCACAATTCAATAGAGAATAAACGGGAAAATATTAAAATTTTATCTTTAGACCATATTTGTTAAAAATTATATCATCTCAAGGGGTGCTGATCTCTCTAAAGATTGATTAAAAAGTAATAAAATTGAATCATTGCCACAAACGCAAAATTTCTAATCCCTATATCTTTGCCGTCTGATGATTAGAACATCTGAGTTTGTGACAAGGACTCAATTTCTTAGCTGTAAGTCCACTAGAAGATTTAATGGTTTTACGCGGGAAGATTTTCCTGTTTAAAAGTCAGTAAATCTTTAAATTAGACCCCATCTTTAGTTTACTTTACTTAATTTACTTTACTTTACTTTAAACTTTCATTTCTTAGGCTAAACCTTTTAAATGATAAAAATTGTATCTTATCTACCCTACAAACACTTTTTATGGCTTTTTATCAAAGAGGAAAGCTTGACTTAGTTTAATTTGATACAACCAAAGGTCAAACCTTTTAAATCCCGAGATCTAGTAGTTTCACGAATATTTTGTCGTCCAAAGGATTAAATCAAGTTTTCTTGGATATCCCGTAGTAAGTAGGGATAAATAAATCGGAAGGAATTAAGAACATATCCTGAAATTAAAATTTTTTTTTGTGGATATCAAGATCAAATGTTGTAGATTAGCAACAGTTATCAGAGGTCCTCAGCAGCCGGAACTTTTGAGTGGATATTGATAATCTTAATTTGAGGATTAATTCTTGATTCCTCTATTAAAGTTATCCCTGCAGGGTATGACCATAACAGAAAATCGACGAAATTTTAGTTAATTCTTAGATCTGCATGAGATGAAAATCAATTACTTGATCCCCAGATTCACAACATTAAAGTTTGGACCTCAGAACGTATTTAGCGCTATAGAAATTATGGCGAAAAACTTAATTGGAATTCCCCAGACCCCCCTCGATCATTTCTCTTGTCAATGAATAATAGATGAAAACCAGGACTTCCGATGTTCATTCTTGAGCTCGCTATCGGTCAACGCTTGCGGAAAGGATCTATCGGAGTCTGGAAACAGGTAAAAATTGGATTTTTTACGCAGCAGTTTTTTTTAAAAACTTATGCCATGGCCTTGATTTTATCTCAATAGGTCTTTAGATAAATGTGCTATGCTTCTGTGAGTCAACATTTTCCGTCGATTTGAATATATAAAGTAGTAATCTCTCTGTTTATCTGTTTGTCATTATTTGTACGTCCAATCATAACTATGAACCCCTCAGATTTTAATATATAAAGTAGTAATCTCTCTGTTTATCTGTTTGTCATTATTTGTACGTCCAATCATAACTATGAACCCTTCAGATTTTTTTTGGAGAAATTGCGGTCTCTAACTTGGTTACAACTTCTACGTTGAGTAGGTTGATTTTTATAAGGAAAACTTAGTTTGCAGACGAAGCTGGGTTTCCAAGCTAGCAAAATATCATGGTAAAGATCTAATCTCTTCAATGATTTAGCATATCTCTGTGTAATCTAAAACTATTTTGTAGATGGAATTTCAAATATTTGCACCAACAATATTTTACCAGTTTAAATACTTAATATATAAAGATCTCGTTTGCATCCAATATACGGGACTAAATGATTGGCAAATAGAGACACAGGTTCACGGGCAGCCGTAGTACATTTGAATTTCCGAGCCGGGTCCACCTTTACGGTCCCAGTTTGTACTGTATCGCCCGGACTTTGGATAAATAAAGCAGACACTCAATAGGACTAGCCGGTGCAACAAGGTTGACGTGGTCAGACTTTAGGTTGAATTTACTTTTACTAAAGGGTCACAGGTGTGTGGGTTTATAGTTTCATGAAATATAACACTAAATAAATTAAGTACAGCCGTCTTTGTAGTCTCATTCTTTTTGCAGGTAACCCTGTATGTTTAAAATGTTTTAGATATGTTGAATTTAAACATTTTAATGATTTAAATTAATTTAATTTTCGCGTGGAAGTGTTGTTTAACTGTAATAATAACTGTGTAAAATAATGTTGATAGAGATCTGAACATGAAATATATTTTGTAAATGTAAAATACAATGAAAAGTATAACAATGGGGTATGACAGGGTATTTAAAAAGGCAGAGAAACCAAGAAATCTGAACAAAATTTTAATTCTTAAAGGACCTAAATACTCGCCACAGACTCTATTTTTATATTTATATTATATTTGCAACTATTAGAAACTTCATCTATTTATTATATCTAGCAAAATTTATTGGTTGAAATATAAAAGATCTACAACCTCATGTTGTAAAACAACCTCATGTTGTAAAAATGTGAGGATTAAACCATTAGAATTAGAGGCGAGTATCGGAGTATTCATTTTCTATGTCATTTCTGTTTTAATTTGTTTAAATATATAATATATATATTTGATTTTCTTGGTCTATATTTGGTGCAAAGGTTTTGGCTACTATTGCATGTTACATAATTTTGGGCTATATTGGGTACATGCGTTTCGGCTACATTTACTTGATAAGTCTGGGCTATATTGGGTACATAAGTTTTGCAATTTTGGTGCATAAGTTGGAGCTTTATTTAGTACATGAATTGGGAATTTTTTTGAATTTTAGTTTCGGCAACGTTTGGCACTAAAGTTGGACTATGTTTGGTTCCTAAATTTGGGCTAAATTTGGCACTTGAGTTCGGGCTTTAAAAGTGTTAATTTCTGTGAATTTCTCTATTGCGCAAGTTACTTTCGCAGAAAACCCGCAAATGAAAATAAACATTAAAAGAAACTGAACATTTTCTAATTCTAAGGGTACCATTGTAAATCGAACATTGCAATTTTTGCATTTAAAGTCTCTTGAAATTACGCCTGATCAGTCCCTTTAAGAAAAATAAAATGTCGTTTAGCTAAAACCACATTTACTCTGCTGATTGGCTGTATGACTCTACAAAAAGAATAAAATGATTCCTCTAAAACTTTAAGTTTCTGCCAGTTGTAAGTCTGAAGTATAAACAACAATGTCACGGCTGGTAAAGAATTAAATCTGTATGATAAAGCTCTTCGCTTATATACATTTATATGTTAGCTATAGCTGGACCAAGTTTTAAGTAAACCTCCATTTAAAGTGTGGGCATGTCTGATTCACAACACTACAAGCCTAAAAGCTCTGTAAAGTGTGGGTTTGTCTGATTCACAACACTACAAGCCTAAAAGCTCTGTAAAGTGTGGGCATGTCTGATTCACAACACTACAAGCCTAAAAGCTCTGTAAAGAATGTTTCTCTTTGAAAACTGTTTACTTTCTATTGTGGGCTCTCTATTAAAGTAAAGTGCACACTTTTGCTGCAGAAACAATGAAGGAAATATCAGAATAAAACATTTCCAATAAAGAAAAAGACAATATCTTAGATACTATTAATTCTATGAGATGTAATAGCACCGTTATGAATGAGGCGTGTTCCATTTTAAATGTAATAAGGTCTCTTTATATTACAACGTTATAGTTCCATTAGAATAGATAATTGTAACTCAGAGGTAATCTTTCCGCACCGGGAGGCCATAGTTGGCAAAAGAGCTTTTCAACAAAATAAAATTACAGAAAAGTAAAAAAAGGAATTACCAAAGTTAAACACATCATATCATATTAAAAAAATGAATGAAATACTACTTTTTTTGCCTACAAAGACGCTAAAAAATTCCAATATTGGTGTTTTCGAAGCAAGAAGTTTTCGAACTGAAGACATATAAACCAAAAATGTTTTTGCCGCATTTTTAAAACCTGTTCGAAAGGGTTAACTTATCTTCAAAAATTTTAAAGTTTTGTTATTTGCAGCTCTAAAATTTTTATCTTATGCTGACAAAGTTAAGTAATGCATTAAATATGTAGATTGTAGAGTTATATTTATATATATATATATACATATATATATATAGGGCTCTTGAACTGGAAAATTTAATATTTAAAAAGGTTCTCAGGAAATTAATTTGAGAAACTTTCTAATCTTTTTTTTTCTTTTCTAACGAACACAAGTCCCTCTTGGAAAGTTTAAAGCTGGGCTTCTAGTCATCGGAATTAAATATTTTATAGCTTTTTTGAAAGCCTTTGACAAAGAAAAAGCAGATTGCTTTGAAAATAAATTTTGCAAAATTATTTTTACAATTATTTGAACAGAGTCCTGAAAGTTAATTTTCACTTTAAAATTTTTATTTCAATGCGCTCAATAGTTTTGCATATTTAAAATTTGAATATTTTAAATTTAAATATTTGAAATTTGAATATTTGAAATTTGAATATTTGAAATTTGAATAATTTCGTATTTTCTTCAATTTTTGTTTTAACATTTTTTTTCTAAATAACAGGATTTCGGATTTTGCAATGAATGTTTGGATTTTTGCATGTATGCAAATCTTTAAATCATTCACCTTGCTATTAATAGTATTGAAATAAGTTACTATTCTATAATTGAATGTTTTATTCATAGTAACTACTCCCGCTGCCGTTTACCCGCACTTGGTCGATTTTACAGGGAAACTAAATTTTCGCTTGAAAAGTGGACCCTCTCAAGAAAATTCCCATGGTTCTCCCAAGTTCCCCGATTTGGGGCAAATCGGTCAGGGATTTATGAGCCCCCCCCTTCACCTACCAAATCGGTCAGGAATCTATGAGCCCCCCCTACACCTACCAAATCGGTCAGGGATTTATGAGCCCCCCTACACCTACCAAATCGGTCAGGAATCTATGAGCCCCCCCTACACCTACCAAAAAATGTGTATAATTTAAATGATTTTTTTTAAGATTGGTTTTGACCATTTCTATATAACAATGTTATCACCATAGAATTCTTTAAAATGAGAGAAAGGGAGCGCCAAGTATAATGAGAGAATGGGGGGGGGGGAGCGCCAAGTACCACCAGTTTAAGGTTAACTTAAAAAATTTCCGACAAGTATCTAATAAGAATAATCTATGTAAAAAAGTCACAGGAAAAAGAGGTTCTGAAAAAAACCTTGAAATAAAAACTTTGGTAAATAATCCCAATTATCTAGAGTCCTAGGACAAAATGTCACTACAAAGTAAAGTCCTGAGTTTTATATTCCTGGGACTTTTTCCCAAAGACTTTTTATTTCAAGGACTTTTTTTCCATAGGCTGTTTTTAGTCCCAAAATTTGGGACTTTATTTACAAAAACTTTTTTTCAAAGAACTTTTTTGGCGGTTAACATCTATTACATACTTTACACTTTACTAAATTTTCTGTTAGGATATTGTATTTTACAATATATAACCCTCAGGTGTTTTCTTGGTAAAATAGTATTTATACTGAATTTTAAACACTGTGCAAGTAGAAAAAAGTATTTTGAAAGGCTTTCAGAATATTTTCTCGAATATATATTGATATATTGACTAGATTACTTTAACATTATGAAATATTTTTTTTTCTCTCTTGGACTTTCTCGTATATTGGTATAGATTTTATTTGGTCCTAATTCTAATTAATATAGATAGATAGATAGATAAATAGTTATATAGATAGATAAATATTGGATATAAAGTTGAATAGATGTATAGATAACTAGCAAGATAGATAGATAGATAGATAAGAAGTTACATAGATAGATATATATTGGATATATAGTTGGATAGATAGAAAGATAGATAGATAGATAGATAGATAGATAGATAGATAGATAGATAGATAGATAGATAGATAGATATGATAGTTAATACATATGCTCGTTTAGTCCGCTGAACTTTAGCACTCTGTGGTGATGAATAGGTGTACTAATTAGCATTATGCAAGGCCCTCAAATTATAATGAGTTGGTTTAGCTCTCTGGTCTCTATTTTATTACCAAATAATCAGGGTTTGATGGAGCCTTGGAGCGTGTTTGATCCATAATCTACGGACTCATGGTTCAAGTCCCTTTAACTGCAAAAATCAAGAACTGATAAACATTCAGCGTTACTGATGAGGCCTTATAGGACATATCACTGTATCTATAATATATATAGAAGGGAGCTAAACCATGTTTATTGACTGATGAGGTTCTAGAGATCTGAATCAATTTGTATTAATAATTATGAAAACTGAGGAGCTGCTCTGATTATTGCTCGATAGTGGAATAGAAATATAGATAGATATCTAGTTAGATAGATAAATAGTGAGATAGATTAATAGATAGATAGATAAATAGATAGATAGATAGATAGATAGATAAACTGTCATATAACTTTCAATGGTTTCATGACTCAATATAACGGAAAAGTAGAGAATACAGTAAAGTGCAAGTTCCTTTACTACAACAATTTACACTCAACACAAATACACTACAGTACAAATATACTACAATACAAATATACTACAATACAAATATACTACAGTACAAATATACTACAGTACAAATATACTACAATACAAATATACTACAGTACAAATATACTACAGTACAAATATACTACAGTACAAATATACTACAGTACAAATATACTACAGTACATATACACTACAATACAAATATACTACAGTACAAATATACTACAATACAAATATACTACAATACAAATACACTACAGTACAAATATACTACAATACAAATATACTACAGTACAAATACACTACAATACAAACATACTACAGTACTAATATACTACAATACAAATATACTACAGTACAAATATACTACAGTACAAATATACTACAATACAAATACACTACAGTACAAATATACTACAATACAAATATACCACAATTCAAATATATTACAATACAAATATACTACAGTACAAATATACAACAGTACAAATACACCACAATACAAATACACTACAATACAAATACACTACAATACAAATATACTACAGTACAAATATACTACAATACAAATATACTACAATACAAATATACTACAGTACAAATATACTACAATACAAATATACTACTATACAAATATTCTACAGTACAAATATACTACAGTACAAATACACTACAATACAAATACACTACAGTACAAATATACTACAATACAAATACACTACAATACAAATACACTACAGTACAAATATACTACAATACAAATACATAAAAAAGAAATCTATTCTGGTATAAATCACAAAAATAATTAATTTACAATTATTTCATATCTATATATATAAATTTTCATTAGTTATCCATAAATCAAATATGTACATTGTACTCAGAAACTGGCAAGAAATGCCTTTCATTAAAAATTCATGATTTTACATGAAAAATATTTGTTTTTTAAATATGACACATCACACAATATTTGCGGTGAACATGTAGGATTAATTTAATAGTTGTACTACAGTATTAAAGCAATATCATATTAAGAGACAGAACTGATAGTGAAAATATCTAAAAAAATACTTAATAAACCCCCTTTTCCTTTCCCAGGAAAAAACAGCATAATGAAAAAAAAACAAAGATTAAGGCACCTTGTCAACCTTATCTGATCTACGGCAGTAGTTAGGCTCGGAGACGAAGGGTGTCTGTGTGTGTGTATATGGTGTATTAAGTGCTATATGGATTGAACTATAAGCTCAATAAACTAACGTTCAATTATCTTTTTTTTTATTTTACGATAAGAGCGAGCTCTTAAATTTCCTCAGGGTCAGGATTCATGAATCGCTAAATTGCAAAACAGGGTGGACTTCGTCACTTCTTGCCCCCCCCCCCAGCGGGGGGCAAGACTTCTTAATGGAGGGGCATGCCCCCCCCTTATTCAGGCTAGGGGGGGCTGGCCCCCTGGCCCCCCCTAGTTGCGCGCCTGCACTACAATACAAATACACTACAGTACAAATTCACTACAACATAAATACGCTACAGTACAAATTCACTACAACATAAATACGCTACAGTACAAATTCACTACAACATAAATACGCTACAGTACAAATACACTACAGTACAAATACACTACAGTACAAATACACTACAGTACAAATACACTACAACACAAATACACTACAACACAAATACGCTACAGTACAAATTCACTACAACACAAATATACTACAGTACAAATACACTTCAACACAAATACACTACAACACAAATACACTTCAACACAAATACACTACAATACAAATATACTACAATACAAATACACTACAATACAAATACACTACAGTACAAATACACTACAGTACAAATACACTACAGTACAAATATACTACAATACAAATACACCGCAATACAAATACACTACAACACAAATACACTACAATACAAATACACCACAAAAAAAATTCATTACAACACAAATACAACCTAGGTTAAAAAATAAAATTTTAGAAGTAAAGCAAAATTTTTACAAAATTATGCAAAATTATATGTTTAATATTAAAGAAAAAGATATTCGCCCTATTTTCTACTATTGTATTTTACAATGTAAACTTTGTGTGAATTCAAGATTGCAACAAACTCTGCAAATTCAGTAGAAGGATTTAAGTTTACAATACACTACCTTGGTTGTATAAACATAATCCTATTCTTTAAATTTAGTTTAAAACAAGATATATTTACAGTAAAGCTGTTGTTTTCTTTTTAGTGCGGATACAGGATTTAAGTGAGGGGGGGGGGCAAGATTTTTTTTGACTTAAAAGACTCAAAAAGAGTCAAAATTAATGACTAAAGACTAAAAAACTAGATTTTTAACTTTTCACACATTATAGTTTATTAAGACAATTATTTTTCCTGTTTTGCACTAGGGTTTCTTTCCCTTAAGCATGTTATTGAGAAGCTATTCTGAAAATAGGAACAAAAAATTCCAAATTCGGGGGGGGGGCTACACCCCTCCCCTGAATTCTGTCCCCCCGAACCCCTGTATCCGCCCCTGTTTGTTTTATTTACTGGTTACCCAACAAAAATAGTTATTTGTTGCAAATAAAACATTTGTTTGTTAAAACTATTAGTAAGAAGTTATAAAAAGGCTTCTAAGAAAGAAAAATCTACGAAAATTTTGTTTTTTTGCAGAGTACAATAAAAATTGGTAACTTGAAAAGCAATAGTTAAAGCTAAAATTGTTACTAGAAAAGGGGCGCGAAGCAGTTAATAAAGCCTAGTTATTCAAAATTTGGTATTTATATTTCTAAATTATTGCAGATATCTCCCTACTTGGGAGGTCTGGGTTTGGCCAGCGCAGCTGTGGCTTTCAATGTGGCTCTCTACTACAATACTATCATTGCCTGGTGTCTCAAATATCTAGTTCAGGTAACCACCACTAGATGTCTCAAATATCTAGTTCAGGTAA